TTACGGCATCCAGCCGCAAATGCCAACTTCACTTATCTCTGTTCGGATTTTTAGATGCAGCTGATCTCAGGCTCTCAGTCCCCTTACCAATCTATTACTGACAGAGCACTTTAGCTCCCGTCTCACGAACAAGAAGGTATTCTGTTTTTTGAGTATTGTTCCTGTGAGCAACAACTGTTAGCTGCATCAACTATCATGCAAGAATCCAAGAGCAGTCCATGCCACCTGTGACTCCATCGACCACCACGTTCAGCCGAATGAGCGTCGGCAAAGGAGCATGTACGACGTTTGGTGGCGGCAGTGTAGAGCTGTTTTGACTCACCATATTTGATTTCTGAGTTCACTACGTAGTCCATTCTACAGTGATCTGAGCAACCCCAGAAGTTGGGGGATGTATATTTTATTCTAGCATGCCAACCTCAGTGGAGAGTCCAAAGGGGTTGGCCGCTGTCAATCGATCTTGAACGACGAGAAAGCGTAAAGTTGAAATCCACAGTGAACATTCTTCGCTTTGAAATTTAGATTGACCAGCTAGTGAACTCTTTTCATCGAAATTCATATATCTTGTTTTCCCTGAGAACATCATTCATTGGCTTATTGCCCACTCTAAGGATGATTTGATCGAATTTTATTGGATAGGAACGACTGTATCAACAGAAATGTGATCTGACGAAGAGCACTGTTGGCGAAGATGACCAGGGGGCACACGGAGACCGATGACAGTGTTTAGTACTATACAAACTTTGGGAGCTGCACTAGTTAGTTCCTGCTTAGTTCTAGTATATTCCTTCTCCATCCTCCAGAACTGAAGTCAAGCGATCTACAGAAACCTCAACACGTGCTCTGGACTATCCAAACCAACACAACACTGACCTCTCCGCTTACCGTAGGTATTAGCAACTGCTCCCTGAAACTCAAGGCGACCTATTTCGGGTAGAATTTCACAAGGGGGTAATTTTTCCACAACTGCCTGACATGACTCCGACACAATGACCACGGTTTAGGGTGAAATTTGGCAATGAGTACGAAAATTACATCGTCGTGATTCGATCAAAACTGCAGTGATCCCTGCTCAAATGACGGGAGTTTTTATTTTTGGGAACATCAGAGTCATTTTCTCCGTGCTAGCATCCATCAGTGGGAGATTTCACATCGTGGATTTAAACCGCCAGCGTCACGGTGCCTTCTTGACTGGAATTTTAAGAGCAAGAATTTTCAATTGTAGCGAAGTGGCCGCACTCTGCCTGCAAATTCTTCGTTGTCAGAACGTAACGGACCCTGCACAGTTCCTATAAAGAGAAACATTACTCAACAGAGCAGCATGGACCCAGTCAGGATGCCAACCAGTTTAGCCGACACAGCTTCCAATATAGCTACCATTCAGGAACGCGTGGCAGGCTCTCCGGTTGCTGATACTGTGGATATACAAGTCATCACATCTTGCCACAATTAAAGTGTCGGTGACACGGCGTCAGGATGGCCCAGCTGGTTTCCTCCAATTCCATCGACGCTTGCAATTGATTAGCTTAAGGTAGCTGATCAATTCTCCACCGCCCCCCATTTCCGATCTATATATGGTGGGGTATTTTCACGAGTTTGGCATCTTATTTGTGACCAGTTTTGACACTTTTCTGGTGGTAAATAGATCCAGTGCTTGTTAAATTTACTATGTTTCTAAGCACGGAAAAGTATTGCAATATGGAGTGGGTGTGTTTTGATTTAGGAGGCAATTGTTGATTGATTGGGGTGGAATTCAAATTCAGCAGGAGCTGGTTGAATCCTTGTTACCTCAATCATTCATTAACATCCATAGGTAGCATGTAATTAGGTGAAGCTTTATAGTATAATTGGGTGCTACACTTCTCAATTATGAAAAAAGAGGATTCTCAATTTTGTAAACCGCCACTGATTGAAATTAGGTTTACCTATATGTCAGATTTGGATCAAAGAAAATCTTCACCTTATTTTTTTTTTAAATATAAATTCCGTTTTTGTGCCATATTGTGTGAAACACTTGGAATCCTTATAATTTCTATTTCCTTATATGGGAATATTTTTCTTTCATTTTTACACTTGTTGCATATATAGTGAAATGCTTCAGTTATTGGAAATGGGTTAGCTACCTCAAATCAATTATTTTCTACCCTCTCTCAAAATATTTAGTATCAAATTGAAATTTTGCATGTCTTACTCATCATCAAGAGAAGTAGTGAATGTATCAGCTATTAAAAAAAATTAGGGTTTTAAAAGGAGAGAGTTTATAATAATTAGCTAAATATGGAACTAACCTCTTGTTATATGTGGTATAGACAAGAAAGCTTTAGTTATCCAATACTTGATAGAAAATGTGGACTAAAGATTGTAGTTAAGAAAGAATAATATGGTTTAATATGTAATAATAATTTTGTGGCACTAGTCCATTTGACAAAAGATTAAGATAGACTTAAATATATGGATTCTTTTAATAATAATAATAATAATAATAATAAAAATAATAATAAAAACACACACTTAGAAGAGATACATGTATTATCTTGATATTATATGATTTTGGAGTTTTTTTTTTTTTTTTTTTTTTTTTTTTTGTTGTTGTTGTTGTGGAATTCTAAATTATTCAATTGAATTAATTTAAGAAATGTTGAAATAAAAGAGACTATATTTCAGTAAGTTTATTATGGTTTTTGGCTCTGTAGGAGATAAAACTTGCCTTTCATTTTTAAATAATAGATTTTTCAACTCAGAAAATAAGATATCTTAATTATATAAAGACATTTAGATAGAAGATATTTTCAATAAAATCTGATTTATTAAAACTCCAACTACTACTTTTGTACAATACTTTAGCAAAGATTTGTATAATATAAAAATGGATTTTAGAGTTTAATCTGTTTACAATAACATCAATAAAACTTCAATAATTACAATTTAAATTATTTTATGATTATTTAAATAAATAAATAAATAAATCTACAAACATTAGTAGAATCTTGATAATGGAGGAAAAAATTAATTTAAACAATTTAAAGTTTAGATTATTAATTCCACATGAAAAAATATTAAAATTCATTTTTTAATTAATTAATTTTTTAAATATATTAAAATAAATTATTATTATGTGTTATATTTCAAATTAAAAATGAAATTATTTTTTACAAGATACATATACCATCTTGATATTAAACATAATACTTAGAATTTTCAACTCCGTATTGTAATTAATTAATAATTTTTATAAGACTATTTAGAGAATCTAAAAGTATAAAAATGAAAACATTAGTTAACAAAAAAAAATAATCTAATGTCCAAAAAATCCAAAGATAAATTTTTTTAAAATAAAATAAAATAAATGTCCAATTCAAGTTTTAAGTAGACTTGTAGAATAAGAGATAGTCTTGTCAACAAATCCTAGCTAGAATAGATCAATTGAATTGCTTCTTTTTATAATCTTAAATAAATGTAAAAAGATATATAATTAATAAAGCAAAAAGATGTAATTTTTATTATGATTATCAATCAATCATAAAAAATATTTGATCATCACAGCTACATTAAATTCATGAGTTTTTATTTTTATTTTTTTTATAATTTGATGTTGGTTCAATTGTGACCTTCTATTACTTTTATCTATTAAAAATCATTTAATTTAGAATCAAAAAATAATTAGAAGAAATAATTAACAAGATACAAAATTTATAACCATCTTTATTAACAAAATATTAAAATATCCTTTAAATAAATTTTATTTAAGCCTTTATTACCTAAAAATATATTCTAAGATACTTAAAAACTTATATTTTTAGTTCACAAGAACTTTTATATACTAAAATATATTATTTTTATAATTCTATAAAAAATATTACAAAACATATTGAAATATCAATAAAAAAATATTGATTTAAAAATTATAATTATTTAAAAAAAATAATTTAATCAAATAAAAATATCTTAATTTTAAAAAATATATATTTATCAATTTGAAAGAATATTTTTTGTATTTTATATAATAAAATAATACAGCTTTTAACTATTATTTTAAAGAGTGTTTTTCAACCTAATATATTTTTAGAAGTTACCTATAATATTCATTGATTCAGTTTCTTTAAATTAACATATGAATTTGATAATTTATTATTAATGACATTTATAATTAATTTTTGAATTTTCTTTGTTTTTATTAGTTTTTTAATAGATATCCTTGTTATTTTATTAAATCTTATAGAAAAATTATTAACTAGCCTTGTTAACAATAAATTATTAACTAGCCTTGTTAACAATAAATTAAAGTTATTAGGATTAGATTTAAACTAATAGGATCTAAATAATAAATAAATCTTAGACTAATAAAGTATAGATAATAGCCACGGCAAATTAGAAATATTTAACCACTTAAAACCAAATCTCTTAACTAAATTAAGATCCAAAATATATTATGTAAGTTAGAACAAAAATATCCAACTTACTTAGGATCAAAACATTTGGATTATATCAAATAAGGATAAAATAATAAAATAATTACCTAAGCAAAGGCCACTAGCTATTATAATTAAATAGGATTAATATAAGTGCACAACAAAATTGGATTGAAGGAACTCTCTTCTACAGTGTTTTTTTTATCCTATTGAATCAAATGTCTCATTTGAACTATTTTAAGCCAATATGCTTTCTTCAATGTCTTCTTCTTCTTTTATTTTTTATATTAATTAAAGTGATATTATTATTGTCTAGCTTATTGCAGATTTTTTTACGTTACATTCTTAATGACATAAATTGAGACATAATCCAAAAGACATTACATTCATGTGTCATTTAAGAAGAAAATAAATAAATAAATAAAATAGCTGTAAGATAGAAAAGAATAAGAATAACTATTATCAAATATAAAGAGACTAAACAATCTTGAACTAAAAATACAAGACAAGAAAGGTATTGACATGACTAAGAATGGTCTCAATCTTACCCTTGTATATACTAGCTAGAAAGAAAGTCATATGGAAGCTTCATAAGGACTACAAGGCTTGTGGCCCAAACATCAAGTTGTAAGTTGCTTCTAACACAAATTCCTAAAATACAAAACTTATCAAAATAGTTTCAATAGCCACATGAAAAATCTATAAAATTCTTGATATCTAATCCACATATAATAATCTTTCTCAAAGCTTTGTTAAAGAAGATATTACCTACCTGCTTCTATTTGCTTATATTTAATTCTATATATTTAAGTAATATGGAAATTTTTTATATGCATATAATCATATTTTGATCATTCTATATAACTTGTCTAAAATATTATGTGAAAAAGATATGGATTATAAAAATGATTCATTTTATTATTATTATTATTGTTATTATTTTTGGATTTCATTTTTTGCGTGCATTTTTTACATTCTAAATTTAATTTTATAAAAAAATAAAATAGTAGAAGGTCCAACAACCTTGATGTACTCTGCCTCCACAAAGCGCTTCTTGATGCTGGCGAGGTCGCCCTTAACGGTAGTGAAATCATGGTGCCTTTCCCAATGCTTGTTCACTGGATGATTTTCTGGAGTTATCATTGTTCACTTTTGGTAAATTGATCTCTTCACCATACTTCGGGTCATGGATGCTACCTGAATTATCATCTGGGAGGCTTCCGTTTACAGTGGGGCGCACTTGCTCAAAGAACAACACCTGCAAACACGAGTGCAATTTACTAAGAAACTCCGAATTTCTCACATTCGAGGAACCACAGAAACTAGTCAAATGGCATAAGCTTAGAAAAGCATAAAAAGAATGAAAATTATAGTTGAGGCCATTTACAAATACATGAGATTTTCCAATCAAAGGAAAACACTCCCACTAATTGGAAATATGTGCAAATGCACTGCTAACTTAACATGCATCCCTACTGAAAAAATTGAAGACAAATGACTTCTTACTTACAACCAGAGAGCCACTTGCGTGTCTGCACCAAAGAGATAAAAGAAAATTGAAAGCTGAAGGGACTGTCCTGAATTTTTGTTGCAATTTTTCAGTAGGGATTGTTGCAATATGACTGGCAAATTCCTGAGCGATTAAATTCTGATGGATTCAGCCACCATCTCTTCGCCTGCACCTCTAGACTTAATAGCTAAAATAACCCTCCCGTAGAGATGAATGTCCAAGTCACTCAAATCTTCCACCCACCAATCGTTTGGTGCAGATGTCATTCTGCGGCTTCTCCAGGAGCCTGGGCTGCTCTGTTCAATGCCAGACACTTAGCGTGGAGTGTATGTAAAGGGCCAAGTTACCTCAGCAGGGTTCACACAAGCCCTTGAGGAGATTGATTCAATGCATCGCCCCATGGTCTGTAAAAAGATAGGAATCAAGTGATCTATTTTTAAAATTAAGAATTATATATATTTGAGAGGACTCAGCTGAAAATCAAGTGTAAAAAAATACTATTTTAGTTGTGAATAATTACGCTGTAGACCAACCTTAAGATCTTCGCACCACGGCAGATAAGCTGTGCTTCTTCGAAGGCATATTATAGTATCCTTCCAGCCTCGTAATATGGAGGAGTTCAGAAAGACTTCAAGCTTGTAGATCATATTGCTCTTCTCAGTTACTTCAGTCATCTAAAGAAACCCTGCACCACATCTCACCTCACCCACGATGTGAGGACTCAAGGTTATGGAAATGCCGTAGCAGTACTTCGCACACATCTCAAAGCATTTTGCTCTTCCTGGGAATTCATTTATAAGAACCTCCTCACTTCCCGACTCGAGAGCTGATGCGATGAGTTTGTTGAGGCATCCGCATTTCGCCAACAGAGGAAACTTAGAACAGCAAACACAAGATATTCTTTACCACATTAGATGAAACCAATATCAGAATGTGGTAAGCCCCACAAAACAGTGAATCTTAGTTACCCACTTATTTGAAGCCGTGAAATCGTGTAAATGCCATTCACTGTGCAGGCGTATATTTGAGAACGTTTGCACATTGTATAATAGCAGAATAGGAGGAAGAGGCTCTAGGAGAACTAGGAATTTGATGTGCATGAGAAACATCAGGGCAATACCTTGTGCAGGTGAAATTTATGACCATCGACATCAAAAGTTATGTCACTAGGTAGTTCTGAGCCAACCGAACTACACCACAAAGATGAAATGTTAAAATGGAACGGATCACATTGAGAACACACAGAATAGCAAGCTAGTCTCTGCATCCTAGCTTCAAAAACTACCGAGAGGCGATTCAAGAGCCAAACTTACGTAGAATTTCCACGTTCAGTAAGGATGCCCAGCTTCGATCCCAACTTCATGAACTTCATAATAGAAATGTGGAGCTTTGATCCTGTCCTGTGTTGCACATCCTTCCCTATTCCCAATAGACCTGCTGGAACTATGTTTCAAAGTTCATTAATGGATGTCAACATCCGTGTTCATGATTTTCAGTTCCACTGCAGCTGGCTGCTTCAGTCTGGTTGAAGGTCTTAAACCATTACTTAAATGGTTTTTAAATTTGTTTACCCTCTCTTGTGAAACAAAAAAAATTGCCCACTGTACCTTAGAGCTGTTTGCCTGTACTATGGTGGAACACAAAGCTGCATAATAAACAGAAAAATCGTTCATTCTTAACAGCCGAAAATTTAAACATCTGTGTTATTTATCTGGACCAGTGATTGTAATGAGAAGCCTGCGATCCTCTCAAGTGCAAAATGCTTGTAAGTTTGACTTAGTCGTATCAAAATCACCAAAGAATACTAGGTTTGTCAGAGGATGCTCCTATTTAATCGTTTGATCACGATACATGCAGACGTAAAAGCAGCTCAGCAGGATATGCAGTGAAAACTGGAAATTCTTCTTAGTTGTCATCACAATGACCCAAAGGCGCAACAAGACGTCGAAGCAAAGACTGCTAACTCAAAGATCTATCCTGTGACCATCAGACAGCCGCCACCAGTAATTATTTACACAAGAACGCACTCAGCCAATTGAGGAAGGCCATCATTCTCATGTGATAATAGTCACAAACTCAACCAGCTAAGAAAACGGGCTTGCTACATAACATTTCAAACCAAGCGTTTACAATCAGATATGTATTGATTTATTTATTGCTAATCTCATAACTTACAAGTTCGAGAACCTCTCATTAATTAGGCAGGAGAGGCACAATTCCACTGACTATAATTGAGCGATGTGACTCCTGAAAATTTACATTAGTACACAACAGTGAACCCATCAAACTAGAAATCACGGTGCTTGGATCCCGTCACATTTCTAGTACACTCAGCCTTATGTCATTTCTAGTGCAAGCTTCCACTTGGGCGGCACAGCTAATTAAACTTGATCTAACCTCAATCAAAATGCAGAAGACCTCTGAGCGCAGCGGACTGGTAAACGACTGAAGGAAAGTGAGTGCATCTCACAAAGAGCCCATAGGAGATACGAAAGCGTATGAGAGCCCATCGCTTGGAAGTAGCAAGTGAGCAAGGGTACTACGCCTCGAAAGGTGGAAAATGTGACACCTAAAAAGACAAATGACATCAGTTAAACCAAAAGAGATCGTCTTCTGGCTACTTCATCCGGTGGCCCTTGGACCTTTCCAACTAGCACAAGTGCCCAGTTAAATATTCTTTCTGCAAACTCAGAGACCAAGCGTGTTGTTTCTTTTAGAAATTTTTATCAACAGCAATCAACTGAGCAGGTGATGTTGAAAGTGTCCTTGAGCCCCAGTGTTCAGGTGTAGACATGAATAACATGAACTTTTCAAATGTCTGTATGAATTTCTGAACTACTTGGGTTTAAGGTGGTGTTGCAGTGACTCCGAAAGATTATCTGTCACAATACTCCCAAAACTGCGTTTTAAAACCCCTTTGTCACAAGAGAAAGGGTTAAACCCTTTGCAAGTTAAAACACGGTGACCTTAAGCACACAGAATTTGCAAACAATACTGTGAAGAAAGTGTACGTGCTGTCCATATTCGGCCTAAAACTATTCAAACCCTGGAACTAAATCAAGAACTCAAGATCAAGGCATGAGCAGATCCAGTTAGGCTATGGGCTGTCTATGGAAAAAACACCACAATGCAGCAATCAAAGCGTCTGAGATAGAAGAGCTTAATGATCAACCCACAAGGGATGCATAGGGGGAGGACCCACCCAAACCCACCCTCCCAGAGCGTTCGGTTTATCTTAAGCAAACTCGAAACAATCCAAACCGCCAACAAGAGGCAGACAACTGATTGCGCACACTCATTCATCAATCTACACTCCAACTTGAGGAATGTCCAGTTACGAACCACCCAACAAGGGGCGGCCTCGCATTGCCAGACGGATCCCATGGCCATCACCCATGCCTGCAGAAACAACCAAAATAATGCGGCGCTATGGTCTTGAAAGCTCTGAACAGAGATCAAAACCATAGCTACACCGTCATAAGGTGCCGTCTCTACACACCATGCACGCCTGACAACAATTGGCAGTTTTCTAGGCCACCAGAACTCACTGATCCCTCTACTTGCACGATCAAAAATCATATTCCCCCAGATATCAATCATCGCTAACTCTTCGCCCTAAACTAGACCCTTGACCCATATTCCATCACCATTAGATAAGACATCCAACAACTAATCCAATGAATGCCACAGCATTCTGAGCAACAGCAGCTTTTGTTACAGATTCTGCAGCTCTATATTGGGAGTCATGAACTTGACTCATTACCTACACAAAATACAGCCTGCAGGAAAAGAGAGAGATAGAGCGACAATTCTTACAGACTCACCAGAGCTGACTGGCTAGCTGTCTGTACCTCTAACAGCCTGCCTGCACCAAGAAGTACCACCACCACCACTACTGCTACTTCCACGACAAACAAAAGTCCCCAAATTCCTGTATCCAAGACATACAACCTCTCTCTTTCGATCCTTCCACCCTCTGCAGCTGCACCCATTGTTTTACTCTGCCCCAGTCTCCCACAAATCGGTCCTACTGCTTCGTGTTGGTAGGAAAATGAGCGAGAGATGTTGGCTCTGAATGTGAGAGTGGACTTGAATTTCCTGACAAGAGACTGAAGCTGCCGAACGTGTTTCAGTGACCACACAATATGTTGTCAAAAACATCAAATTTATTTGAGAGGCTTGTTGACTTATTCTCTTCGTTCGCAACTGGGTGTTCATGGTCAGAAACTCCAGCACTGCCACCACCGACTGACACCCACTTTGCTTTGTGGTTTTACGTTCGATGAATAGTTACATGAGAGGATTGGATTCTTAAATTTTTATGTATCTTTTAATATTATGGTTTTGAGGGATTTGAGAGTATTGCAATAGCTATGATTTAAATGTATTATAGAATGTGTTAAATTGTTGATTGTGAATTTTGATTCTTCTTTATAATATAATTATGGTACTTGTAAGCTAGTGTAATATTAAAATGTATGTTTTTTTTCAATTTCAAACCCATCATTATTGCATGTTTTGTTGTAAGATAATCTCATTGCTTCTTTCTTCTCTCTTTACTAATTTTCTATAAGATTTTAACAATTCAAGTATATGCTAGAAGAAAAAATTATTTAAAAAAAAGTATGTTAGAAAGAACTACTCTTATCTTACATGAGACTATATAAAAAAAAACTATTGGTCATATCATTGCATTGAATTTTAGATCTTTATTTAGATTTTTTAAATACTATAAAAAAAAAACAAACTATAAAATTTAAGTTTAAAATTATTTTTTATTTTATTTTAAATATCTAAGGATCCAACAATATCTACATGTAATATAGTCTATGGCAAGATATGAGAACTTATTTTGTAATAGTATTACATGTTTTATTTGGTTTTATAATATATTTAAAATTGAATTAGCTATTTAAAGATCCAAATAAGAATTTGAAGTCAAAATAGTTGTTATAGATATTTATTAGAAATTAAAAATTATTCTTTTAAAAATAAGTGACAAATTTGATTTCAATTAAATCCAAACAAAATTTTAAAAATTTAGAGCTTAAAAAAAGAAATAATAAAATCTAAGATTTGAAAGTTAGATAGAAGAATTATATTAAAAAAATATTTTATTTTTTTAAGTCACCAAAATAAAAGCATCAAAATTCTTGCATTTTAGGTTTATAAAATAAATCAGAAAAAAAATAGTGACTAAGTTATATAAATATAATATATTATGGATTCTATTTTATTTTATATAAATATCAAAAGGATTCTTCAAGGAGATTTAAACGACACCCATCCAACACCATAGAAAGAGTAAAACAAGTTCACAAAACAAATGAGAATAAACCTAATAAATATCCTTTTGTGCTATAGTTGGAGATTGTAACAAAATAAAATGGCAACCAAAACAAATATTGGATCTAGATAGTATTGAGATTGATTTTTTAAAATTTTTTTCTTAAAGGTTTTAAAATATATATAATAAGAATATAATTTCTTAAAAAAAATCTAAATATATATTTGAAATTATTTATAGTTTCTTTAATATTTAAATTTAGAAATAAACTAGTCTATAATTAATCTAATAAGATCTATAAAAAAAATGATCTAACAAAATATTATTAAATGATATATAATTAAATTAAATTAAAGAAATTAAAATAATTTTTAAATATCTAAGAGCATATTAGGAGTAAGAATAGACATAAAGACATGATAGAATTTAATAGTCATAGAATGTAGTTTAACAATGCATGATATTGTAGAGTCAAAAGAAATGAACTAATTTAGGAGAATAGAAGTTTTCTATTAGTCAATCTTGCTATTCTTGATTCCATCTTATTTTTAAGGCTTAAAAATTTATAATGCTATATGAATGATATTTTTATTAATTTAAAAAATTAGATATGATCTATTTTTTAAAAATAAAATATATTTATATTTATATATAGATATTCATATATATTTTTAATATAATATTTCTTAAGATTATATTTTTAATACTATTTCTATTTTTATTCAACTATTTTTATTTTATATAATCTCTCATAGTGATAAAATTTTAAATATAAGGTTTAGCATCTATATTTTAAATTGATATATTTTAAAGATTTTAATTTTAATTTTAAAGAATTCACCTTTTTGAGTTATTTTATTAAATTATTATATTAAATTTATTTTTAAAAATATATCATAAAACCTTAATTGAAATTTAAAAACCTCATAATTTTTTTAGTAGAATTTTTTATTTTAAATAAAATAGAATAAATATATTTTTAAAATATATACCATTACTAATAGTATTTTTTGAATGTAAATTCTTTTATCTAAATTTTTCTATGATATCAAATTGGTATCTTATTTATTTTAATAATGCATTATACTATATGTTTTAAAAATTACCGTTCTTAGCCAATTATCATTTAAAAATAAATAAAATATTAAAAAAATGGTTGAATTATTATTTTAAAAATTAAATATTTTAAAAAGTAGTAAAAACAATGTAAGAGAAGAATTAATGCATAAGATATAAATATAATTATGGAAAATATTTTATTCTAGTTTTATTGAACTTGTTTCTTTTTAAATAAAATATTTAAAATAAAAAAAACTTTTCTAATATTTAGCTAAATATGTTTTGAATAAATTGGTAGTATTAATAAATCAATTAATTATATATAATTTTTTAAACAGAAAATTAACCTTAGTATAATATTAATTATTATCATTAAAGAAATCAATAAATATGCAACTGAAAAAATAAACTTAAATAAAAATGAATTTAAGTATAGAGATTAAAAAATTATCTGTTATCAAATAAAAATATTTTTTTTAAATTAATTTTTACAAATTAGTATGTAGGTTTTAAAATATTTAAATAAAAATATTCTAATATTAATGAGTTTATATTTTTTATAATTTTTAATCAAAATGACCCAAGGGTATTATTAAGGTTGTAAGAGAAAAAAATCTAAAGTCTAAAATCTAAATTAAATTAAAAATATATATATATATATATAAAGAAGAGAAGGTATTTCATTAAAAAAATATTTAATAAAAAATTAGAAAGAGAATTTAAAATAAAGCAAAGCAAAATTATATATTTAGATTATTTTAAAGGTTTTTTAATCAAAATTAGAGTTTTTTAAGAAATAATATCATTTATTATTATAGAATATGGCATAAGTTGTCATTTTTTGAAATTACATGTATTTTTCGATCTGATTGGATTATGCTAAAATGATAATAGATATTTCACTATTTTTGTTAAAATATTTTCTATACAATTACAAATGCAAATATCAATACTTAAATTCAGTTTGCATTTTATCCTAAACCCTAAACCATAGTAACCTAAAACTTGTTACCCTAAACCCTAAACCTTAATAGAACATCTATAATTTATCTACTAATTTAAACTTGGTTGTATTAAATCAATATTAATTCATGCTTCTTGTAGTCTTCTAATAGATTATAAGTACGTTTTTATAATTTAGACTTAGAACTTCTTTTGTATATATTGATAGATATTAAATGTATAATGTAAATTGAACATAATGGTTTTATATAAATTTCACTATATAAAAAAAATGCATATGTATGTATATATATATACATACATGCATATATCACATTGATTCTTGAATTTTATAACACTTAAACTAAAATCTTATTCCATAATTTTTTTTCCTTTACTCATTTTTTGTTTCTTGTACATGTATTTTTCTTTTCTTTTTTCACACATGCAAGTATGTGGATTAGATTCTGTTTTCAGAACACGTAGAACAAGCATTAGGAGGTGATCTCACACATGAGAATAGATCACCTCTACAGATGGAAGATTATAAAACACACTCACCTGTTTGTATTTAAAATTTTAAATCCTTTCAAACTCCATTCCCGAGGCATCCTGAACTTACGCCTAAGCCCATGATTCGAAAACTTGGCCCCTGCTTTGCCTGCCAAACCAAAACCACATCCCATATTCAAAAAAGCATTCAAGAGCTGTTGTTTTCAGAAAGAGATAGGGTGTGTTAAATAATTGTAAAAATAGAGGAAAAATAAGCAAGCAAGTTTGTAGATGGTAGGATTAGATTAGGGTTAGTATGGCTGTGAATGTTGAGAAGGTAGTAGGGGACACTACTAAAACCAATAGGTAGTTTCATTTCCCAAGAAAACAATTTGTGAAATATTGGAGCACACACATCTAAACACAAAAGATGAATAAGATTTTTTGGAAGCAATGGAAGCCTAATAACAACCAGGTTGCTTGAACCCTACAAGATGTATTCTAGGTGAGATCTTTTCTCTTGATTTTTTTTAAGATATTATTTAAGAATTATAGTGCAAAAGATGTTAAAGATGTAGTTGTTGGCAATACAATGGTAAAAGCAAAAAACTAATTTTTGATATTCATGTTGTTATAAAGTAAATTGCAGGAGAAGAATGTCCACATGAATAATAAAATCTTGACAATTAGAACTAGAAATGAATTGAAAAGATCAAACAAAGATTAAAAAAAATATAAGTAATTTTATTTATTTTTTAAAAAAAATCAAATAATATTCGAAAAATATTGATAAAATTAGGTACAAAACCTTGGCAAGTTTGTATGTTATTTAAAGATAAAATTTTAATTTTTATCCAAATGCCATTTAGAATCGATATAATCCAAATAGCTTAGATACAATTAAACTATAACTTTGATTACATTAAAATAACTTCCACTACAATTTTAAAAGGTGGGCTTTTATGTAGCAACCAATAGAAAAGAAGTCCTTGGAATAAGATCAAATAACTACAATATACATATATCATTATTTTTTATGACTTTAAATTTAAGTGTTGAATAGAACTTTAAAAAACTAGTTATAAATCTTAATCTAATAATTTTCTATAATAAATAAATTCTACACAACTTTTAGTTAGATATTTTTTTACTAACTATATCTAACAAAATTTGTGGTTATAATGCTCTAGGCTATATAAACATGTAGTAGAAATGAGCATAATAATCAAACATACAAATAATAATGATTGTAATAGTAAGGAAGAATTTTTTTTTAACCATATTCAATGTTATTTTAAATCTAAAGCTAAAATAATCATGCTTTATCTTAGATTAAAATAAAATGAAAGTAAAACTTGTTTA